TATCATGTATTAGCTATGATATCGTAACCCGGTCCTCGATGTCCTATTTTTGTAAACTCACTTAAGCAGTCGAAAATTAATCACCAGATTTTCCTTCAAGGCAGAGACAGTATGCTTCAATCCAGTACCGAAGCCAGGTCGGACATCTATTTGTCGGCGTGCGCAGGTCGACAAAACAATTGCGTTTACCACACATGGCAATACACATAGAATTCTCTATGCCATAGCCGCAAGCATCAACCCACCGACCAAAGTGCACAGTTATGGTTAAATCCCTGGCCTATCGCAACATAACCAGACTACCCGATAGCTAATAATAGTTAACTTGTGACAGATATTATTAGCGATAATATCAATCAAAAAGGAATTTGTCTAATGTATTAGGCCAACTGGGCACAATATAGAAGGGATGGACAGTCCTATAATAGTTGCTGATCTACTAGAATTCAAATTAGTAATATTTATGGAGCTAAACCACTCATAACTTATACTTGTTGTTCTGAGGTTCGCGCATTTGTTTACATACAATAGTTACATGCCACGATAATCCTCGCCTCGAAAGTTCAGCACAAACATTTTTATCACTCGATCACCGTGCTGAACGAGTTTCCCGTCGATCGCGTTGGATGGCCTCTTTTTTTTTTTTTTTTTTGCTCTAAAGGTTTAAATTCGATGTATATTTATTTATTGTCCCCACAATAGCGCTGTCTTAACGTTTGCTTATTAAACTCAAGTACTCGTGGTAGTCGAGATTTGGGTCCGAACATAGAGACAGTCCATTCGGTACTAATGGTAGCCCGTCGCCTGGAGTAATGCTTGACAGCTTAAGTAGGGAACGCAAAACTCAAAACATTTACTTAAGTTACATGTACTAAGTTTTGAATGTTTGCGGCTACACTGTGTGGGCTCATAATTAGCCAAAGTAGACGTAGCTCTCCCGTTTGACTTTCTGCTCGTCTAATCAACTACGTATTTTAATCATGTCCTAAGCGCGTCTTCAGCACTTCAGCTGCATCGGTATCAACACTGAGAACAGGATGGATACAGCATTCAATGTATTCTGAACAATTTGTCATCCATAACCTAAGAACTATATGCCTATCTCTATCCTAAACTGTGCCATCCTAAAGGAAGTATAAATACATGCTAAGTTATAGTATTACTATTCGCATACCGGTGCCGAATACGCTTTGTGGGGCAAAGGTCCGAATGTGATGAACACGATTGTTCAAAATTCAGTATTAACGTATTTATCGCTAATTGAAGTTGAATTTCTGAGTCCTTTATCAAAGAGAGCACTTCGATATTTCGAATAAACCGAGTGGACTTAGTTGGATGTACGTTTCACGATATATTACAAAACAAAGCTACTATTCCTTTCGATACCCGAAAGAACTTTGAAGAACATATATGAGTCGTAGTGATTAATCCTGAAGAGATGATCTATTTTTAAAAAGGATAAGTTAATAAAAGGAAGCTAATATTTAAATGTAATTATCTGAAAAATATTATGAAGTTGTTTCATTGTCTAATAAGTCCTTAACGAAACTTGCCTTTATAGCCTGGACGTTGTAGCTTGAAAATTTGTTCTTTGACAGCTTACCCGATCACAATGATTTGTTTTTTGGGGAAGAGACTGCCGCACCGTACCGCGCACTCAGTCAACTGTAAATTCATGCAATTTGGCTTACTAAACATAGAAATTTTCGAAATTATTCAAAGTCCACGAGTGCGTCAACAACTAAGTCATTACAAAAGGATTACCGAATGAACACAAAGCTAATCAGCCATAAAGATTTCACGCCCGATAAAAGACATCTGGATTATTCTGAATTTTTGTAGAAAAACATAACTTCCTAACAAAGTTTGGCAAATAGCAAAAATATCTCCTATTCTGTTAGAAGCCTATGATACCTATCAGAAATAACTACCGGTTTCTCACACAGTCGCCAGTTGTTCTCTGAATTTATGCCAACATGACAGAATGCCGAGGACTGAATGAATGTGGACTGAGTTATCGTTTTCACAAGAACCGTCCTACATATCTTTCAAAGCGTTCGAGATGCGAGGTGAACGCATTTGATCTATGATTCGTTAGCTGTAACTCTGTTGAATGAGTAGCGTTCGGGCATAGTAGTTCATGGTCAGCCAATAAAAACACATCTTCTATATAAAAAAATACTAACGTGCTCGTGTATTAAATACTATTTTTCAGGTGATATAAAAAGTATACATGTTTTTTATTTTTGAATAACGTAAAAAGGCAAATTCTCAGAATCGTCTTGGGTAATAGATAATTACATAAAATCTAAAAGATTTTATGAACGAATTGGTGATTTCAATGAAATATATATATATATATATATATTTCGTTGTAATAAAGGTTCTGGACCTCATTACATCAAACTTCGGTGGATCGTGTCGGTGCACAACGCTGAAGTCCTGCATTACCACGCCACAGGAAACATACCATACTATCCTAGCCAATATACGTATATACAAAAAAGAAGCTTTATTCATCGATTGCTATCATAGAGCATTGGTAGCGGCCAATCGATCACATGCTGTCCTTTTTGATATGCAAATTATATCTGAATTATACTTCGTTCACAAATAAACGTTTGTTGGTTAGTATCCGCTCGAGGATCTGAAGCAAATGGCGATAACAGCTATGACCAGTAACCATTATCTAAATCCCTAAGCTATAAGCAGGCTTTCGTAATTTTCTTCCATTAACATTTCATTTCAATAACATAACTTTTATCTACTTTTTATTATAACAGTCGCAAGCAAAGGTCATCTTTATGACAAGCCGATAAACAATAAACAAACGTATTTTTCCAGTAAAGAGATAAGCATAAATGGTGTATTAAACAATGCCTGATTTCAGTGGCATCAAATCTGAAACCTCAGGAAAAATACCGTTCTTGTTTTTTTTTTCACCCTTTTTATAATACCCGATGCCATTAATGCACACTATTTAACAGAGATTTAACTTTCAAGATATAGTTGAATTTATTAACCTATGGAAGAACAAAAAAAAAAACATAGATTAAGAAAAGCCGTTGAGCAATCCGCAACTACAAATGCCAGTGTCACAATATTTGACAAAGCTTCTCACGACTTCCGTGCCAGCAGGCCTGTTTCTTTTGAGTTATGCATATTTTTTTTTAGTGCTCTTGGTTCCGTTGATAATCTAACAAAACAGATAACGGTTCTCAAAAATTTACAATGTGAGCACTTTGAAGCCTGGTTGAAACAAAAAAAAAAACATAAATGGACAACGATAGGGTTTTTCGCAAAAAAGCGACTTGAGTGTTTGTTGCTACAGTTAAATCTGAGCCTAAACTCCTCTAAAGGCTCTGGCCGCACAAGGAAAACTAGATGACTCTATTATTGGTCCTCTAAATAACGTAATTAAATTAAATGTTCTCGATTATAGTCGGAGTGGGTTAGGTTAGGTTTCTTTTGCAAAGTCAATCTATCGCACTTCTCATTATGTATCAATAGTTCCTCTCGTTCGAGACCTCATTTAATATACAGTGATTGGTCTGGCTTTATGATCCGATCACAGTTATCGAAACATTATCGTCGAGTCAATTGTCTGATTCGATTGAATGAATAGCTTTTCAACATTTGTCGATACACCACCATACAACATGTCGGGCTCGACGGGATGAGAGATTGCAGGAAGACATGCGTTTACAAGCTCCAACTCTTTCGGTCTTCGTCGACGATTTCCATGAACGGTACTTGCTCGTCTAGCTGCTGCGCCCTTATGAATCGGCCGCTCTTAGACTTTGTCCCGGCATCTTCAATCGACCTTTTCTAAGATGAGTACATGAGAAGCTGAATCAGCCTGCCCAACGCATAACGCGATCACGGCGGGCATTTTTCTTTTTGTGAAAACCAACGGATTGTGCCTTCGGTGCCTAGAGTAAGTACTTTATATGAATTTAGTTACGGGGTGGGCGTGGGCCTAAGCACGCTCTTCAGTCGGCGTAAGTCTTTGTGGCTTCAGTCTTAACGAAGATTCCGCATAGACCCGGAGGAGTTTAGAATGCGCTAACACAAAGTGAATGAAAAAAGGTTTGATAACCAAGCCCCCGTTTGTATCTATTTTCTAGTCGTACACAGCACCATACTAGCTAATGCTAGTACCGGTGTTACAGCTACGAGAATTACAAGAACCGGACAGGTATACGATCACAGTAAAGTGATGATAATCGTAGTCGATATGACGGATGCGATGCTCAAAGCTTTCGGAAGCTGCCCACTCAGCGACTCGTCACTGAATTTCTGCCTTCAGTCATCGCCAATCAATGACTGTTGTTAATCAAGTGTTTACCGGTGACGGTACATCGAGGTACCGGCAACGACTGAAAACCTTACGGCCGCACGAACCTATTATTTCGTCGGCTTTCCCGTTACCGCCAAGAGACAGGTTCCGACTTTGCTTGTTACTATTGTTGTTTATCGTCTGCTACGGTTTCATTGAAGCGGAATTTTTAGCGCTTAACGTCAGAACGTATGCAGTAGCAGTAATAATTAGAGTAATTATGTCAAATACTAGAGAAAAAAAAAAAAAAAAAACTATAATTAAAAACGATGCGATAATTAATTCATTAACCCATTATACAATATCTTATCAAACAAATTCTCCTGATACGCTGTTATTTCTATGTAGCATGTTTCTGCTATATGACTGACAACAAGTGCAATAAAGAAAATAATATTACCAACTCTATAACCGAACATGTTTACGAAGAGAATACTATATAAGTACATTCTCATGGTGACTTGATACATTTATTTGGCACTATCACCTCGCAAAATATTTGGCCCCGCACCTGCCCCGTTGGCCTATACTGTAGACGGCTCTCGATGCCTGAGGTCATCTAAGGCTTTGTGTTCACTTCCTACGGTCATGATCGTTTGTATTAGCCAGTATGAACCCGTCTATGCTATCGCTTTAGCTAAGTAAAAACACATTGTAACAATTAGGTTTGCAATACGCCCACTGGGGGCAGGGTCGTTCGTTTATTTGTGTCACGCATATAGCCCGTCAACAGGATATTGTGCGTGATATACCTTTTGCTCTTTTATAGTTTCGTATCTTTTCTTTCTCTCTTGCTCTCTCGTCAATTACAATACTTTACAATAAATAAAGGCCTCATGGTGGTTATCACAGAAACTGAGATCGGCTAAGCCAATCAAGCTGGATTCGTCCGCTTCGTGTCGCGTACGTGGTCTGCTCTGTTGATCGATCTGTTCGATTAAGTTATTGCGCAGATTTAACGAGTAGCTTGCTGCTAACGTTGCCGTTATTTTAAATCAATAGAGCAAAAACTAGCACGAATTTTCTACCAGGGTCTCCAGACGGATTCATCAATGGCCAGCTCCATTTTGACAGGAGATGGGCTAACCGGCGATACAGAGGTGAGCAACGGTAGAGGCGACACCGACTCGCGATCGGACGCAGCTGGCGATAGAATTCCAGAAGAGCCGAGCACGTTTACCGCCGTTGTGTTGCAATTGACAGAGATCTCCGTGTTCCGGTTGGACTCCGCAGCGCTTAGCTGGTGATGCTGCTGCTGTTGCTGCTGCTGCTGCTGGTGGAGGTGGTGAGGGGCGGTGTTCTGTCCGTCAGCGAGAACAAGAGCAAATTGCCCACTTGGCAGACGGGTGGGCACCAGCGGTGCATTCGGGTTACCGAAGAACTTCTGGGCCGCAGCAGAGATTACGGTTGGCTGGGCGGTCTGCAGAGGAGACGTGGCGGCAGATACGGGTGAAGATGAGGGCGATGGCATGACATGAGCAGGGCTGGCAGGTGCTGGCGATGTCTGGCCGAGGTGGTTGGCAAGACATTGGCGAACAGAGGGCTCAACACCATCGGCGCGAGACAGATAGCGCGATACCTCGGACGCACACTCGAGGTAACCAGCGCGAAACTTGTCGGCCACGTTGGGGTCGGCGGCCGCGCGCTGCGCGGCCATCTGACGATGGAGCATCTGCACATGACGGACAGCCATTTCGAGGATGTCAGCTTTCTCCAACTTGTTGTTGTGCCGAGCACTATCCTTGGTCTTGTTGTAATCCAGGATGAGGTTTTTGAGCTCGTTGAGTGAGTTGTTGATTCGAGCACGACGGCGCTTTTCCATGATGGGCTTCGTCGTGCGTCGAAGCTCGCTCAGTTTGCGCTCACCCGACACTGGCGCTTGTTGTGGCATTGAATGCATGTTGTCTGAACGTCTGCCTGACTCCGCACGAATCAACCACGAACAATCACAGAACAACGTCAAGTTTGTACACCGAAGCACAAACTTATTCTTGTAGTACTAGTTCGGGTAATTTTAGTTATGTAGAAACTTGGAGCTGTTCAGGCCCTTGAACGTCTACAAAAACAGTTGTAGCAGTCGCGTCAATAGCGAATCTAGTAACGTATATCCGCACAGTTTTACTGCTCTGTGGCGAGTGTTGCTCGCGGAGAGGATCTTCGCTCCTTATATACCCTCGCCCGATGATCGAAGCGCCCTCTCCTGGCCTCGCTCGGCTACTCGTCGATATATGGCTCTAGTACTCTCGTTGTTTATCCTTCTTTGCTCCTTGTGCCTGTACGACTATCTCGCATCGTGTCTCTTTCTCTTTCTCTCTCACTCGCCGTCCCGACTCGCTTTCCTGGGCGGCCGACGCGGCACCAGCCGCGCACGCCGCACGTGTATTCATTGTCCGACTGACTGTGGGAAACTGCCACCGAAGTGAACCAGCTTTTTTATCACCATTTCCCGCGTAATCGCATAGTCAGCTAAGCGGCCAGGCGATATATGAACTCTGGTTGGACGGTACAATGGCGTCAAGTGGGGGCACGTCGTCGCTTCTAGCCGAAGCACACTTCCCTGTCACGCCAATAGCCAGTAGATCCAACCGGTTCATTCGATTAAGCGGGCCTGGCTTGTGTGTGTGCCTGGAGGTCAATGTTGCACATGCGACATGAGAGTTGAGTCGGTTCCCACGGCACGAGCAAACCAGGCAGGCCACAGCAGCTAGCGCCTGGCAGGCCGGCGAGCGAGCGAGCGGGCGGGTGGCGGATTGCGTGGCGCGCGTCCATCTGCTCTTCACAACGACAGTAGCCGCGGTGGCCGTGGCATCAGTAGTAGCAGCGGCGACGGCGGCAGCAGTTCAACCAGCACCGACTGGAGTAGTCTCGGCTACAGCAGCGGCCGCCTCATAGCGAAGTTCTTTATTCTTGTTGACTCTTCTTATAATTTCGTCGTCTTTGGTCTTCTCCTTACACCGGTAGTCTGTGTGTCTGTTAGTGTGTGATTGTTGTCGAATTGCGTTCTGTTCCACTCGTTTGAACGGCGAACGATCAAATGAGCGACAGACCGACAACGTCTCGTAATAATCACAACCGTACCAGATCTTCCTCTTCTGCAACTTCGTTCTTCGTTGTTGTTGCTGCTGCCGTAGACGCCTGCCTATGACGATTACAGCCCGTTCGTTGTGTCAGCCGATCGCCGACGAGCGTCGAAGAACGATTGCGAGCGAATATTAGGACAACTGAATGGCGAACGAGCCTGAGAGAATTATGCGACTGGCGATTAACAGGCCACCGCGCCTCAAAATTGCACAGGATCGATCGTCCATTGGGCTCACTCGCGCGCGCGCGCGCGCGCACGCATGCACGCACACACACGCTCAACATGAAACATCACAGATAAAAACGCATGGATACGCCGTATATGAACACATAATGCTATAAGGGATGGCACTCAGTTACTAAATTCTCGTTGCGCAAACTCACAGCTACATGCATAGACCCATACATGGAACCGTACACACACATGCACACGCACGTACGTACGTACGGACACTTCATGCCGATATTCTAACGGCAACTTCTCTGTTCAGTCTGCGCAGCTCCCTGACTCGTGTCTGACACGGCGGCATGTTAAGTGGCTTGCCTGAGTAAGTCTCAATGTGACAACCTGACTCAAATAGGCAGCGTCCGAACAAATCGGACTTTGGACCGTTAGGTCGATTGATCTATAGATCTGCCCTCTGCTATCTACTCTAAGTGACACTGTCCTATTTTCATTCACGCATAGGTTATCTGAACGCCACTGAGTGTACGTCTAGGCGGGCGTGTTTGCGAAACATCGTGTGTTGTGTATACGTGCGTGCCTGTCTGCCAGCCCGTCCCTTGCTAGTGCTTGTCCGTTCTATATTTGTGTTGGCATCAGTGATAATTGTATGAAGAACAGTAATTTTCCACGTATGCGCGGCAGGCCACGTTGCCAATGCAGCGTCTTCAATGTCGTTGCTATCGTCGACGTTGTTATCGTCATCAGCAGCACCGCCTTTACGCTGATGCTACAGACTTCAACCACCCGCCGAGCCAACGCCAGCCAGCGAGCGAGCAGGCATCCATCGGTCAATCACGGGCTTTCAGATGAGCGCACGTAAGCAGATAGATTGACGCACAGCCAGATGAAACGAACAGATTTTCGTGTTGCTGCTGCCGCCGCTATTGTTGTTACTCCTTTTCGTCTTCTTCTCTCTGTGGAAGAAAGAGGGAAGACGGAGAGAAGTGTGGGAACGTGGACGGCGAATTAACGGATCGCCGCTGGACACGACCACGGGCCATGGGCTACCATCGCCAGCACCGCTGCCATTAGTACGCGATGACTAATCAAGCGGGCTCAAGTGCCGCAGCCTGATTCTGTCGCCGGCATCAACAGTGAGCCGCGGTAGCAGGGTCACTACGAACCTCGATTCCTACCGCTCATAGCAGCGTCAACGTCAGCAGCAGCGGCGGCAGCCAATACGAGACGAGCCGCCTATGCAGTATCGACAGTGTTAACACTCTGCCGTTGTCGTCCATCTGACTCCTCTCTACAAATCCCTCTACATATCAGTATCACTAACTAACTTTATTCTGTGTTGTCTTCCCCTAACCCATCTATACTTTTGGTGGGTTGTTGCGTCGCCTGCCGATGCTGTATATATGTTTCACACCACTGTTCCATGACTATCCGCGGCGATGCAACGGTGCCAGTGCTTGATCGTCTCTGATCTTCTCGCCGTCTGATCTGTTACCGTCCATATCTCTGTTCAGTCTGTCTCTGACGTGCGATACGCACATGAGCGAATAAGCGATAAAGGGAGAGACAGAAGAAAAGGGCGCCTGTATGTGCGTGTCGTTGTGTGACTCGGCGTTGAGAAACGCCCGTCTGCTTTCTGTCGCCCGTCGACGGTAAACGCTAACCGCGAACAGCGTTTCTTGTCTCACCACTGCCACCGTCGGCTGATCGCTGAATAGCCATAAGCAGCGAAGAATAACCGCGTACAGTTACGAGACTCAAAGCAGACGACAGCGCTTTAATCAGCCGCAATAACACGTCACTGGTTTCGACTCTTCGAACACATTCTGTTCAATTTTTGCCGTTTTGTCTTACTCAGTCACTCACTTACTCTTCCACGTTGCTGCTGCTGCTGCTGCTGCCATTGATTTCGCGCATTTCATAGATTCGAGCGGGCCGCGGACGCACCGCAGTGCTTCACTGGCTGGTGAATCGGCTTTTGTCGACTGTTCTGCCATCGGATCGCCGTCTTTCGCTGGGTCGGTTTGCATCGTCGGGGAGACGACGCAAAAGATACCTACAGTTAAACTCTCACGGTGTGCACATACCCTTTTATATATGACACGTATATAACTGTACAAACGTACGCATCAAAATAACGTAGATGAGGCAACGACATCGAGAACAACCACCAGAGCGTAGTCAGTCGCAAGTCGACGCCGTGAAGACCGCAGCGGCGGCAGATACATAGTTAGATCTTGACTTATTTACAGCATACGTACGCACAAACAAACACACACAGACCAACCACACGCGTAACGCTCGCTCACAAATACATACAGACGCGCGCACACACACACACACACACACACACACGACCCCAGAGAAGAGGCGACGTACAGCGATACAGCCAGGAATTAATACAGATGGGCCAAACAGCATCGCGGTCCGCTGCGGTGGATGAGCAAAAAGAGAATCACCAATCGTCAGCGTCACAGCAAATGAAGCGGGGCGGCAGCCGAGACGAGCGTCGGAGTACTCGTTCCCACGGTCGCTACCGGCACACGGATGAACGGACGTGGCAGACGGTCGAGTCACAGCCGATGTGGCGCGAGGCAGCCGCACGTCATCGTCTTCTTCCAAATCGTCACAACGGCAGCAACAACACTGCCAGCGGCGTGTAGAATGCCGGAACGGCAGAGTGGACGGAGGCAATAGCCAGCGGCCGCAAACGCCACAACAACAGCCGCCAAGAAGACGCTAACGAGACAACGATAACAGCTTTCCAGCAGCAGCAACAACAACAACAACAACGAAAATAAGTACAGCGATAGGAGTCCTGACAAAATGTTGTCAATATCGAGGCAGATAAACGTCTTGCAATGCCTGCAACGAACTACCCACTAGTTCGTTGTCATTCTAATCCATTAGCACCTATCATCAAAGAGTAGCGGCGTCGGGTCGCCCGCCGTAGTGCCTACTAGAGTGACAAAAGGGCCGCTGTCGACCGCTATCAGCTCCTAAAGCAACAACTGTACATATGAAATCTGTTTCACAGGAACAGCGGCTAGAATAGAATGGAGTCAAAGAATAGAAAGGCAAATAAAAAGCGATGTATACTGTCGGGCTGAACACGAAAAACTCAATTGTAATTGCTTGATCATAGAGAACGTTTGGCTGGAATAGGTAATGATATTGTTTTCTAAGTAGTAGTGGATTTGGCTAGATAACAGTGGTTCTGCATTTTCAGCCTGGACAATTTTCCCGCTTGGCGGTCATAATAGTCACGATCGTGGAGCGTCGAAAGATCTAAAAGGACACTACTGCGTACATTGGTAATTGTGAGATTCTGATTAGGTATTGGGTGGTAGCTTGCGCGGAGAGAGTGGTAGTCGAACGCTAAGGGAAGGTCGCTAAGGAAATACTCTGTCAAGGTAACTTGTTCAATCTAATATTTCAATGTTGCGGTTGTTAGGCGTCTAAGTTACTCGACAAAGAGCGCAGTACGTTCTTATTATCAGCAAAGGCAAAAATATCTATCTGTTTAGAGTTACAACTATCACGAAATGGGAGGGCCCCTATTCGCGTGCCAGGAACGAGCTCACAATTAATTCATACACAATGACTACAACGAGTAAATGGAAGTGAGACGAGCACAGATCGTTGCCTATGCGCCGCTTGTTAGCCGTCGGCTTGTTACTGGGCAATTCGTTGTTTCCACACAAAAGCCAGTTTGACGTTACGCAAGTTATCTACACTAATCTGATACGTACCACGTACAAATGAAAGGCTGTACCGATTTTTTGAAAAAAAAAAAGCATCGACTTGCAAGCAGATCAATGAACATATTTCATGGAAGCGTGATGTAATTTGGTGTTTTAGCAAGTCATCAGAATCCTAATCAGCTTAGGGAGCTATTACACGCACACGCGTGCACACCACTCCGTTTTTCGTGTTAGGCATATTCATCACAATGAGCCTATACCCGGAGTAGGACCGCAGCGTTGTGTTGACATAACTGCCATTAAGCGTAGTCGATTCGAGGGGCATGTGCGCCTATTGTTCATGCCGTTGACGCCATTACACTGGCTAAAAGCCAGTAGCGGGTGCCGCGAATCTGACCTTTCTCGACCCGAAGGTGATACCGATCTAGTCTCAGAATGATTAAGCAAAGCCGGCCATTACAATGCTACTATCCGTAGCAGTCCCAACTAATGGCAATAGAGGCAGCAAGCGACCAGATGAAAATAGGGACAATTGTTAACCATTAATCACATTCATAGAAACAGAAACGAACAGGAACATTGTCAACGACAACGTTATCATCGTCGACAGATCGATGAACGAGTCTTTATCGACCAACGGTAAGCAACGGTAGTTAGCCAGCTGATCTTTCTGATACAATAGATTGGATCTCAGACGAGTCTAGTGACCATCCTCGACGGACTACTCAATTCTACGGCCGTTCGCCTTTTCGATTAGGCTTACGCTAAACATAAAATCATTCATCATCAAAGATAAAAATCAGGTCATTCTTTAAGCTTGATATTACAATGCCACAAACCGACCCACGTATATGGCATAGGGCTGCTGATGGTCGATAGCTTTGTACCCCTTTGCTTCTATGATACACGCGGCGTAATTAGCGCCACGCGTCGGGGGCTGCTCGTTCTGTGTATTTGCTCGACGACGCGCAACGCCATTAGCGACAGACGTATGGCAGCTCTAGAAAAGGCTAATGCGAAAATAACCGTCAACAAAAAGCTAGATTGCATACGGCCGTCATTGACTCAGGCTAACATATACAGAATAGATGCATGTTTCTATTTTGGTACGGTTACATTTACGCCAGTCTATAGCGTTAAGCAATAGTAGTGCATTAGGGATGAACTTAAGTAGTTCAATGTTGGGATCGTCAACTTTAAATTGTCTGTTATACTCTGTACTTTTCTCGGCGTCAAATTATCTAACGCAATCGGACAACCTGAAGGGACCTGGTCATTTTGTCTCTGACATCATCGCCCAGGACATTCGTTGCTAGTAGGTCTGTTTTTTTCACCCCCCCCCCCCCTCCCTCCCAAGTTCAGGACTCGCTGTGAGCTTTCATGTTTGGGCGGCCAACACTCATACTGGGGGCATCTGAGCTTGAATTGACCTTGTTACTCTGATCTCATTGTGGAGCTATACGTTACCTCGGGCAACTCGAGTCACTGGTGTGAGCTAGTTCGGCTCTCCGGTTTAGATCCTATTCAGAATTTCAGAATGCCTCCGAGCATTCTGAATGCGCGCGTGTGTGTATAAGGGATCACGTGCGTACAGGTGACCACTCGAGCTGGCCTAGCCACGGAACTACTCCACCTATCGCTCAGTAAGAAAGATGAGCCCAGGCCAGGACGAAAGCTATACATGGTCATAGGCTCACGTAGACCACTATATAATTTAGCTACATACATGTAGAGAACGGCTCAGTCGAACGGAGCCAGAGAAACAGACAATGGCTAGTGGCCCGTGCCGGCCATCCAGCTTTATGGCACAGCGGTAGTCTATCGGAGCAATAGCCCCACAGACTATGCGAACAGTGCCGCTCATTTAAGACACTCTCTACTTCGTTGTAGGGGGTTAGGTGGCTGCTCCGCGACTGCGACTTAATACAACTATCACAGCTACTGGCAATGAGCAACAAGTAACAGCGACCCAGTTAGCTGTTTCCCCCCTTCCGAAAGCCCGGTCAGTCGGTTATCCGCCTTTCTCGTATCTATTATACTACCCCAGTTCGTACGGGTCATACACACTTCTGTCTCGAACTTCAACAGCGCTCGGTGGGCATTGCCTAGTCCTAACCGAACTGCCTACGATATTGTCTACCTGGCTTTCTTTCGCTATCGACAGCGCTCCTCGGCTTTGGCATTCGCTATGGCGTTCAACCCGTAGAACATTCAGAGTTTGTACTACCACTACTACTACTACTACTACTACTACTACAGACAGTTGTTCTGCCACAACGAAGACTGCTACTTTACCCCACTACCCCATCGTGGTAGTAGTGGTAGCATTCGCTCGCCATGTGAACCGAACTATGGATCATGGCTGTCGCCTATTCGCATCCACCAATGAGGATTGCTGCCATATCTCTGCCGCAACGGACTCTATCGTGATGCATGTACATGCATGTATGCACCACGAGTGAGCACAGGCCGCGTCGACCTCGGACAGTGTTCGGTCGCGCAGAGGCAGAGTCGCAGGCAAGCGATCTGCGTGAGCAACAGCCGTAGTTATGCTGAGGCAATGCATTCCACCGGTTTCTGCCGCGGCGGAGATTACTAGTCCCCGAGTCGCTGCCGCTCATGTTGATGATGATGATGATGATGCTGGTGCAGTTAGCGGTCCAGCGGGAGCAACAGCCGCGTGAGCGGCGATGGTGCCCCAAGAGCTTTTCTGGTCGCTCCGTTGATTGTGGTGCTCCTGTTACTGCTGCCGCTGATGCCAGAACGAGTACCAGGATTACTTTCCCACGCCGGTCTCACGCGTGCCACCAGAATCACCGAGGTCCCGGTTCTTGAGCGGTGGGGTGGCCAAGAGACCAGACAGCCGACTAAAAAGCTCCTTCAAGCAGCAGCACCGTAAGCATCAGCTACCCGCCTGTATTCTCTGGTATTACTAGCCCCGCGGGTGTAGGGGACGGGTTCAGCTAGAAAACAGGAAAGGAAAAAAATATTTGGAATTGATGGCGTACGCCGCTGGTTGTCAGCGAAGCAGCTGCCTGATGCAAATTGATTCTGCTGTGTTTTGTTAGTTTGCAACAAACAACCTGCCTATTGCTTCTTTACGTTTCGAATCTTACGTCCGGTATCGCCGTTAGGCGTTCCGTCAGACGGCTGGCTCCTGCAAACATAAAATGAACCGTGTGTCTCTCTGTCTGTCTGTCTGTCTATGGCCAGGTTCGAACCCAGGCCAGGAAGATTTGCTAGCCCACTAAGCTATGATGAGCACTTAGTAACTACGCTATTTTGTCGATATTGAAGTTTGAATAGATATGCGTAATAAGGACGACTAGATAGAGTTCCTGCGCCTGGGTTTTTCCTTTATCATTGCTATTATTGCACTTATGAAAAGTCATACATATATAGAGGAATCTAAATCCTAAATCATTTTTATCCACGGCTTGGTTTGCCGTTTCCTAAATTATTTGTTTTCTGTTTTACTGACTATAAGTAGTAAAAGGCCATAGAACAACAGTATATCCTGCTAGTAGCTTGTCTGTCTCTTGACGCAAGTGAAACGTAAAAAGCTCTTAAGCGTTTAACTGATAATGCAGATTCGTCCGAGCCAGTGAATATATTTTAAACAGTGAACGCTCATCGCAGCAACGGGGGTCGAACTAAGGGGTTTGCCAAATTAATATATGCGGGTACATCGGCTGCGTTTTCGCCGCAGCAGCCTAGTCCGACAAGTGTTGTCTGACAACGACGGCCGCGGTGACTGTAATGAGCACGGAGACACTACTACATCGCAGCGGTGCTGTGCCCGAATCGAACTCTCTGTTCCCTTCAGTGGGTCGATTGATGGGTACAACCCCGAGCCCGTTCGGAACAAACTCTCGTTTTTAGTGGATCTTCAGCTCATCGGTGCCGCATCGCATGGCGACCAACCGACTGACCAGCGATGATTGGTTCAAGCTGGCGATGATGGCCAGTAAACACCGGCGAAACCGAGGCGAAACGTGAGACTGGCAAAATTCTCACCTTTGCACTCTCGTCTGTAATTGACGCGCAGCGCTATCCGATTAAATTGTCTCTCAGTGCTGCTTTGTATCCATTTACGCGTTACTCTTCCATTTCGACACGCGCTCATGCTTTAGCGTGATAAAACGCTGTGCGGGGGATGGCTGGGTCGACGTTGGTAATGTGATGTAGTACGAACTTCAGTTCGATCCCTCGCTCCCGTGTTATTTTTTCTTGTTTTTATCGGTAGTCGGAAGAATAACACCGACAGCGAAATTCAAGCCTTGCTGGACGACACCAACTTGTCTTTACCGTTCGTTTTATCAGCCATGCAAGGAGCCGAACTTCAATGTCTATCTTCCAGACAGTGCTCTATAGAACGAGGCGCAGGTATATAGAAGACCCGCCATTGTGCATG